AAACACAAGTCACTGATCAGCTACGAGCTCTGCAGTGGAACAGATGACTTAATGCAGCAGTGGCCGGATGGTTTGTGTAGTGGTGGAGGAGGGAAGGACAATGAGATGAAGTAGCACCGTATCCAAGAGGGCTCAGAGTACTGGCCAGCCAAACCAATGTCTGGGTGCACCCCTGCCTGCACAGGGGTATCCTGAGCTCACTGGTAATGCTGGTTTTTTGCACATCATCCACTCCGCGGCTCAGAGGGGTGGAGTTCAGCCATTGCCATGAGTTCACAGCTAAAAGGGATGGTGTGCTCTGCTGTGGGGTCAGCTGAGGAGCAGCAGGAGCAAAAGATGCTCTGAGTGCCTTTCCCTGAGCTGCCTGCTCATCTGAACCTGACTCCACAGAGAAAGAAGAAAAAGGTTCTTTGTAATATAGCGCTGCAAAATGCCAGCAGGTCCCCAAGCTCTCATTAGCACAACTCTGACATCCAGTGCAGAAGAAATGCAACGTTTAGTGCAAACTCCCTGCCTGGCCCACAGCCACCTCAAGAGAGTCAGACCCGTGCTGACTTCTGCACTGACCATGGCAGAAAGCACATGAGCTAAATTCACTGGAGCATCCCTAGTGAGAAGGCCTCTGTCTGCAACCCAGAATGGCTTCAGCCCTTGGGCCCAACTCTACAACCTGCCAAGGAGACTCTGCCCCAGTCTACACTGGCTCTTTGCTGTGGAATGGATCACCGCTGCCATGCCTTCAGCTTGGGCAGGGTGTGCTGGGCACTAGTCCATTTGGGATTCAATTTCGCACAGTTTACATGAACTGGATTCACTGCTGAGGGGCTGGCAGGGTGGGCAGGAGTGTGCCTGGCCCAAAGGGCAGTGGGACAGGGGGTCTGGGACAGCCTCATCCTGGAGTACCACTGCCCAGGGTAAGGCTGTGCCCTACAGGGAAGCCCATTAGGCTGTTGATGATGCTCCTCACCATCGTCCTCCCTTCTGGGCAGCAGAGTCCTCTCCTGTGCCAGGCCGTGACGCACCTTCAGGGCAAAGGCTGGGGCCTGAACGTGCTCTGCAACACTTTACCAGCCCAGAACAGAGCCTGTAGGCATTGAACGCTTCCAGCTGCATGCCCAAGAGCACCCCTCATCTCCCAGTGCCTCCTGCCGCAGGATGACTGCTCCATCTCTGGGCAGCCATGAGCAGCCCCTGACAGGGTCACAGCTTGGTGCCATGGGACAGACATGTCCCTCAGAGTGCCCACTCCTGCTCTCTGGTATCTCTGGGAGAATCCCCTTGCCCGAGAGCAGTATGTTGTGGTTATTGTTTTGCCCTCAAGGTCTTCTATTTCCCTCTAATTTTGCTTCTTATCTTGGCCAGACTGGTTATCTTTACAAGCAACAAATTTTGCAAGAAGCTCAAGTGAGCCACTGACGCACCTAAACTTTTCATATTGTCCTGTGCTATCTTTAATCTACATGTAAACCTGCTCTTCTAATAAAACTCCAGACTATAGGGGATAACGGATAATCAGCATAACATACAGTCTCTGCGAGCAAGCAAACTGAGGCATCGGTATCATCTTCGGAAAGTCTCTGAGATCAACATCCTCCCTTGTCTGTTCGTGGTATCTGTCGGGATATTACTTTTAAATCTCTCTTGTGGCATGGCTGATGTTATCAGTTCAGCTGAATTAGCTAACCAAACTCTGCGTTACTGTGTGTTATTTAAGTATTAATGGGTCAGATGGGGTGCATTTCCTCGCAGCCCTGAGGCAGCGCTGATTTTATAATGACTCTCCAAGCTGGGGCTGATTACTGCACGTGATCTTCATGAGCTGGAAAGGCAAGGCATTCAGGGGAAATTTGACTGTAATTTAGCATTTATTATCAAATGGTCAGGAGAGCTGTTCCAGGAGACCCACTTGCTCCCGGAGCAGCACTGCTTCGCACCCCTCCCCGGCCTGGCAGGAGTTCAGACTGACCACGGCTTCCCAGGTCACCAACAGTCACTTGCAGGCAGCCGGTACCGGCGCCGGCACTGCACTCAGGAGGAGGGGGCTAAGGACAACACCAGGACGGGCCATGTGCCTCATACAGAGCACACAGGCATGAGGAAAGGCTGAAGGAGCTGGGCTTGTTTAGCCTGGAGAAGACTGAGAGGGGATCTCATCAACATATACAAATATCTTAAGGGTGGATGTCATGAGGATGGAGCCAGACTCTTCTCAGTGGTGCCCAGCGACAGGACAAGGAGCAATGGGGACCAGCTGAAGCAGAAGAGGTTTCAGTTGAATGTGAGGAAGAACTTTATTACTTTGAGGGTGACTGAGCCCTGGCACAGGCTGCCCAGGAGGGCTGTGGCGTCTCCTTCTCTGGAGCTATTCAAACCCCATCTGGACGATGTCCTGTGCACCCTGCTCTGGGTGAGCCTGCTTGAGCAGGGGGGTTGAACTGGGTGTTCTCCAGAGGGCCCTTCCAACCCTTGCCATTCTGGGATTCTGTGAGGAGCACTGGGAAGAACACGCAGAGAGGACGCTGCAAACCAACCTTCCCTGGTCAGGAGGCGGGTTTGGGTCTCTGCAGCCCCAGTTAGAGCAGAGTCAAGCCCTTAGCCCCTTACTGAGCACCGCTGATGGATGCTGCTCATTTCTACAGCAGAGCCAAACAGCAGCATGCCATCAGATGCGCCTGACACTCTCCACTGCCACTGCTCATGGCCTGCCTGGAGGACCCCAGCCCTGTTTTGGAACGGGACCTCCTGCACACAAGTTTGTTAGGCTAGGACCATTCTCACCCAAAACAAGGACCAAAACTGTAAAATATAAGACATTTCCTCCTGAACCATGAACCAGTCTTTGAAATTCCTCTGCAACATGTGAGCTGTCCAGACAACATTGCAGCTGCAAGGGCAAAGGACAGTCGTGTGCTTCCATTAGTACAAGCCTCAGATGCGACTCAAAGTTTTTTATTCACTTCCTGTGAAATCTTCGTAAGACTGTTGAGAGATTTTGGCAATTTTTGTCACTTTACAGAATTCTAGTGAAGTCACAGCTCTAAATACTGGCCTGTAAACACAAAACCAAGTCAGCAAGGTTGGACAAAATTGCCAGCGTTCATCTGATGAAAAATACCACACACCATCTTAGTTGTTTCATCAGGTGAAGAAACATTGGCTAGAAATCCCATGCCAGCTGGTCAGAGCCCTAAAAAAGCTTTCATGCTCCCAAAGGTGTAAAAAAAATGCATTAAGCATAAAAAAAAGGTATTTGCATACTTCCTAATTATTCACCTGAGCAGAGTATCATTGACAACAGGGAGGAAATAATGCAGCAATGGGGCAGAAACGCACCGACAGAGGACTCACCTTTAGGAAATGTCAACTTTTATTGGGAAGCAATTTAAGATCTAAACTGATGTTTCTCTTCCTATGTGGCTACAAGGAGTGGAGTCAAGTGCTGTGAGAGGACTGCCACGTGTACAATGTGCGTGAACAAAGAGTTTGCCATTCAAAACAACAGACCCTTTATTTCATCCATAAGTGGGGGAAACCAGGGAAAAATAATATGCTAATTTGAGCTATTGTGTGAAGAGATGGGAGTCAGAAGAAGGAGAGATGTTCCGTGAGTTATAGTTTTGAAGAAAGACTGACAGAGCAGCTGTAAACAGCCATGGCAAGATCTGGAGGTTTGGACAGGTCCCCACTCAAAGTGCTTGCTTGGCTCACTGGAAAAGAAAGCGAAGAGCATTGGCACTAAGAATAAAGGAAGACTGTTTGGAAAGCAAAGCACTGAGAAAGATAAGGTTTGCCTTTGGAAGTAAGGAAGAAAAGGGATATTGATGATTAGGATTGTTTATGTTGGGGTACTCTGGTTACAGTAAAATTTAGTGGTTCTTTTTGAAGCAAACAGAAAGTCTGAGAGAACTCAGAGTGGGTTTAGAGAGCTCAAAAATAAACAGAGCTGTGGCCTGGATCGTCTAGTATTTGTAAACAGGCCCTGAACAAAGCTCATATGGAAGAGGAGCTTGTGAGCAATGGGTAAATGGTGAAGAGGGGACTGAAGAATCACAGGGTAATCTGGGTTCAGAGGGACCTTGGGAGGTCCGACCCCCGGCTCAAAGCGGGGCCAGCTCAGAGGTCAAACCAGGGTGCTCAAGGCTTTATCCAGCCTGGTCCTGACAGCCTCTGAGGAGAGGGGCTGCGCAGCCCTGCCGGGTACCTGGCTTGGCACCTCACCGTCCTCACCAGGAAGGGGCTTTCCTTCCACCCGGCTAGCACCTCTTGACGCGCTGTATCGGGCCCGGCTCCGGCTCCTCCGTGGCCTCCTCCTCGCACGTACTACAAAGCCACCAGGCCCCACCAGGCCCCCTCACCCGTGGCCCCTACGGCCTGGCCGGGGCT